TCTCTCTCTCTCTCTCTCTCTCTCTCTCTCTCTCTCTCACACACACACACCATGTCACTCATCTGGCATAATCACACAGACACACACACATGCACACCACCCCTGTGTCACTTGTCATCACACACACACACACACCTGTGTGCACACACACACACACACACCATGTCACTTGACAGGCATCACATACACATGCACACACACACACACACACACACCATGTCACCCGATGGGCATAATCACACACACACGCACACACCATGTCACCCAACGGGCATAATCACACACACACACACCATCTCACTTGACAGGCGTCATCTCTCTCTCTCACACACACTCACTCTCACACACCCACACCACTTGACAGGCATCATCTCACACACGCACACACACACACACACACACACACACCATTGTCACTTGACAGGTGTCATCACACACACACCCACACACACACCCACACCATGTCACTTGACAGGCATCACACACACACACCATGTCACCCGACAGGCATTTTCATACACACACACACCCTTGTCACTCAACAGGCATCATCAAACACACACACACCACGTCACTCAACAGGCATAATCACACACACACACGCACACCCCATGTCACCCAATGGGCATAATCACACACACACACACGCACACACCATGTCACCCGACGGGCATAATCACACACACACACGCACACACGCACACACCATGTCACCCGATGGGCATAATCACACACACACATACACACACACACACACCGTCTCACTTGACAGGCATCTCTCTCTTACACACACTCACTCTCACACACCCACACCCACGTCACTTGACAGGCATCATCTCACACACACACACACACACACACACACACACACACACACACACACACTGTTGTCACTCGACAGGCGTCATCACACACATACAGAGGCACACTCACATACATGCACACACACACACACGCACACACCATGTCACTCGATAGGCATCATCACACACACACACTCACACACACACGTATGTGCACAAGCAGATGCCACCTGTTACCCATTCCCCCAAAGCTCCCCCCACCTTGGCAGCCGCTTTCCAGCCCTCTCCTACCTCGCAGGGCTGGTCTGTCCTCGCCCTGCCGCTCCGAGCCCAGCCGCGCGGGAAGTGCAGCGCTCAGGGCCCCTCCCCGCTGCCAGAGCCTGTCCCGGCTGCTCTGCCTGCGTAATGTGCTGCCTGGGGCAGTGGCAGCGATTGGCCGCCTGTTGGGCCGGGCTGCTGCCCTGGAGGTGGGCAGGGGAGCTCGGGCTGCCCTGGCACGTGTAGTTTATGGATCAGCGCCTCTGGCGCCGAGCCGCAGCCGGGGTGAGCAGGGACGGAGTCCAGCCAGGGGCTGGCACGAAGCTGCGTCGCTTGGCGGAGCTGGAGGCACCGCGGAGGCACCTGGCTCAGCTGGTGACCCTGCGATGGGTGAAATGCCCGGGCGCAGGGCGCCTGACGCACCCACGGGGCTGCCTGTGTCCGGCTGGAGTCTCTCCTCCTGGCCTTGGGCCGGAACCTCTTTGGGGGCAGGGACGGGCTCTTTGTTCTGGGTTTGTGCAGCACCAAACGCAGCGGGGGCCTGGGCCGCGGCTGGGGCTCCCAGGCGGTGCCATAATCCACAGAATGACGTGTGGACGGAATGGGGCCAGGGCGGAAAAATGGGCACGGGCAGAATGAAGCTGCCTGTATCTGAGCACGACCTTGGCCCCCTTGGGCAGACGTCGTGTGACACTGCCTGTAATGCCAGTGCTCAGCCCCCCCCCCGGAGTCCTG